CCCAGCAACCGGCGACGAATAAGCCGCGACAATAACATCGGGTAAAGCTAAAGTCGAGGGTGTACGTGATCTTAGCTGATGTCATGAACTTTTAAAAAACATATCTAGGTCGCGAGTATCTTTTATCTTAATTAAATCATTAAAAAAAAAGCTCTCTAAACGTTATTTTTGCATTTTTCAAGTATTTTGGTAAGTCTGAGCATTATTTTTAACGTATGGTCACACCCTCGGTCACACCCATAAGAAGGAAATAAAAAACACCATACGGCATCAAAAAATTGAGGTTTAGGCGGAAATTTTGACGTTTCGAAAAAAATTTTATCTTTAAAAATAAAATGCGCAGGCGGGTGGCTGATTTGAGAAAGAATGCCCCATATATATATATATATATAGAGGAGAGTGTGTGTATTTTGGTGCGCGCGCGCCAAATGCATGCCATTTAAGTTATTTCTTGTTATTTTTCCATTTAGTACTGATTTGTACGTAAATAAATATTGGAAATGGTAACTTTATGTTTCAGATATCTATTATTACATATTAAATTTTTCACCAATAACAAATCAATTTGTTATAAGTCTTTTTATACCATACTGCAAAAGATACGATTTAGGTCAACTTAATCGCTTAGATTGTATCTATAAGTCTTTTAAACCGTATCTGCTTTGAAAAAGTATCGAATTTATAAATAAAAATCATTAAAAATATAAGATATTAAAAGAGTAAAAGATTAAAAAGAATCATTAACTAATACTCAATTTTAATAATAGTCAATTTTATCAAAAAAAGAAATCAAGGGATTTTTATAATTAAATTTATTGAACATTATTTAATAATTATTAAATAATGAAAAAGTAAAAAATAAAACCTGGCTTGGGTTTATTTTTGCAATTGTATTCATCAATTATTAGCTTTATTATTATCTATTATCAGTCTTATCTTGTAGTAATATTTAAGAAACTTGAGAAATTTTCTAAAAATATCGATTTGTTATAATAATAGTATATCGGTAAATTTCAGCTCACTCTCTTACTTTCTTAGGCTCTTATTCTTTTACTCTTTTATTTATTTAATAGGTAAATTATCACGTATGGAACAACTGCCCCTAAATATTACATTGAGTAATAATATAAAATATCGATAAGACATGATTTTATGCGACTGGTATGCATTGGATAACTCTCCTCTACTTGTTTGTTATAATAACAAATATTGTGTAAAGTAATAAAATTTTGCTTTTTATTGCTAATTTTTAACGTATTTCAAACTTAAAAAAAGCAGAATATTTTCTTTTATATCTCTACATATTACATTTAAATATTAAGCAATAAGCGGAATTAAGCAATAAACATTAAAATAGATATTAATGTTAATTGCTTAATGACTCTTTGCAATTGATATTTGTTCTTACGTCGTGAAATACACCGAATAAATGGATCTCCAGTGAGTTCTCCGCAGCTACATATGGGATTATGATTGATTACTTGACATGTAGCTTGAATTCCGCATGCACCGAGACAAGGATTTATGCATTTTTGATTGCTACACGCTTCTGTCAGAATACACTCAGAACTGACAGTACATTCCGGTCTGCATGTTGGCGGAACACCAAGAAAACCTGCCACACATGAGCACACAGGTTGCCCGTTGTTTTCTCGGCAAACACTGTTGGGTCCACAGGGCGAGGGTGAGCAGGAATCTCTTTTCGGGATATCTAACATTCGATATAATAGCAATCTTACACCTTGTTCCCAAAAAAGTAATACAAGCAGTATCTCAATAACAATAATAATAGAAAATAAGCTTTAAAGAACTTTTTTTTTTAATTGAATCTACGATTATCATTATCGATAATCATTCATAGAAATTATAAATCGATCTCATTGATTATTATTATTATACCTTCGACTATGGAACATTGAACAAAGGCATTGCCGGCCATTCCGGTCGGACAGGTGCACATAGGTACATGATTGTATACGGAACATAATGCATTTCGACCGCACGTGCCCGGGCAGGGATCCATGCATTTGTTGCGCACACACGCACGATCGTGGGTGCAATCAGTATTCATGACACACTCGGGACGGCAACCCACGTAAGGATCACCTTGGTATTCAGGCAGACATATGCAGATGCCATTATTGCATCGTGCATTCGGTCCACAAGGGTTCAAATTACAAGGGTCGATAACTGCAGGTGCCACTGTAAAAGAATATGGATAAGAAACTAAACATTATAACAGAATTTGAAATAAAACTTCACGAAATGTAACGCATAAGTTTCTTTCACGCAATATTTCAGACATGGAATCTGCTATTATATTCGTGTCTAACGCATCGGATATTTTTTCAATTTATGTCAATCTAATCGATGCTGTAATGATAATTGCAACGAAACAACGTAAAAAAAAAACTTTAAAAATAAAGCATTAGATATTTATTTTTGTTTAAATTTCTATTTTAAATATAACAAAATATTGACCAAACCAGACAATGCAAACATTAAACAATCCACATAAAAAGTAAACATGTCTTTCCGAAATTAAACATTTATGCTGTTTAAGCAAATTTAAGTTCTCTTATTATTTAGCACATTCACTGACACTAAAATTATTATCAAAATATATCTAAAAAGCGTCAAGAAGTATTGTGCATCATACTTCGCGAAATTTTTTTTTAAAACAAATTTTTCATAGTTTTAGGACTTTGGGAAGTCTCTTACTTGTTGGTCTGGGATAACAATTAGTGAAAGGATCGCCAGTAAATCCTTCGGGACAAGTACACACAGGTATATGATTGTAGACTGTGCACAATGAAGAGATGCTGCAGGAGCCTAAACAAGGATCTCTGCATCTCTCATTGTTGCAAGCGAGATTCATCGGGCATTCGGAATTTACGCGACATTCAGGGCGACAATTTGGTGGTGATCCTCTGTAGGTCGGAAGACAGGAGCATGATGGTGTACTACCAATATTCCTACACTCCGCATATATGCCGCATGGAGACGGTAAACAGGGATCTTTGGAGACTACAGGAAAATCTAGCGATTCTAAAAATCCAATAATAAAACAGCGTAATCATAACAAACTCGCTGTTTGTTCCAGAGATGTTGATTTTAGCAATAAATCAACTGCGTTTATGAGAATATTATAAAAAAATAATAAAATAGTATTACATATCATACGATATATCATACATAGCATCAAAATGATTGATATTATGATATTATGACAATTATAACAAAGTGAATTGGGGACAATGATTGTAACGTTATTTCAAAGTTTTAAATGATTGTGGATTATAAAAAATAAACTTGTGATATAAATGAAAGAAGCTGATGACCATAAATGAACGAACGAATGAAGCGAATGATCATAAAAAATTAAGTTAATGAGAGAGACCAAGTTCTTACGTGGAGCGGGGAAACATCTCGTAAAAGGATCTCCGGTATAACCGAGATTGCAGATGCAGATGGGGCTATGACCGATTACTCTGCATTGTGTGTTTATACCACATGGGTCCGGGCAAGGTGATATACATTTCTGATTGATGCAAGCAAGATCTTGAGAGCATTGGCTGTTCATTACGCATTCAGCTCGACAGTTGGGAGAGCTGCCGATAAAATTCGGGAGGCAAGTGCAAACGGCAAGGCCATTTATGTCTCGGCATTTACTATTTGGTCCACAGGGAGATGGGCTGCACGGATTTGTTTCTGGCAGTACTGTGTGGAGAAAAATATTATTATGTACTACTTTCTATGAATTATTCTAGGCAATAATATATTGTCCTTTCTCATGTTCAAATTCAAACTAATATTAGTTTCCTCAATATAATAAACTTCGTATTATATTGAGATCCATATTAAAAAATAAAATAAAGTACAGCAAATAAAGTACAGCAAAAAATTTAAATTATCTCTGTATATGTGCGATCAAACAGATCGCTTTAATTATTTTTTAAATTGAAAATATGTCTTGTGTCTATAAAATCATAATAAATATATTTAAAATTATTTTAAATAGCAAAATAAAAATATGAAATCTGAGATAAATAATTTTTTATTTAGATTATATAATATTTTAAATAAATAATAATAAATAATTACATTTTCAATGAATCTAAAAGTTAACTTTTAAGTGAAATATGTTTCTATAATTTTACATTGTGTGTGTGTGTGTGTGTGTGTGTGTGTGTGTGTGTGTGTGTGTGTGTGTGTGTGTGTGTGTGTGTGTGTGTGTGTGTGTGTGTGTGTAGTAAACATTCTATGATATGTATACAGCTGCATACACATTGGAAATCGGAATTTTTTTAATACAATGAATAAAATATTTAATATGGAAATAAATCTTACGGATTTCAACTATTGGGGAACAGAGCGTAAAAGGGTTGCCGGTATAACCGGGAATGCAAATACAAATCGGCAGATGATTAACCGATTGACATTGAGCATTCACTCCACATGTTCCTGGGCAAGGGTCTCTGCATTTCAAGCTCACGCACGCCATTCTTGTCAAACAGTCAGAATTTTGCGTGCACTCGGGTCTGCATTCTTGGTAAGGGTCACCTAGGTAGTCCGGCAGACAGGTGCACGAGCCAACGCCATTGTTCTCACGGCAGACGGCATTGATGCCACAAGGGGAAGGCTCGCATGGTTTTCTAATGTCTAGGGGTGTATCTATTATAAAAAGAAATTTTATTTAGACTTAATTGAACACACATGCAGCATTTTTCTCCAAAAGCTGGTGCTAGGCTGAGGAATTCTTTGACTTTCAACAGTTTTTTTCGCATTTTCGCATTGCGAATTCCTAATAAGCAATAAGCCTCATATGGTAGTGCGACGTAATAGCTTTGCATGGTTTAATGCTGGGTTATCATCAGTTGACGAATATCTCGAAGAGTTTATCAGTTTTAGTGGGCAATGTTTTCTAGCAATTGTTTCATCAAGCGTGTTCGATTTTCTATCGAATTAATTAATCGAGTTAATTACAGAGTGCGGGACACGATTGGCAACATATTATTTCTTTGAGGATGGGACGACTATCCTATTTTGGGATCTATATTGTAGTGTGTTTCATCAGAGTTTGTTAAAACTTTTTTGTAGGAGTTGCGCTCGTTGCAGTAACACTTTTTGCATTATTGATCTATTCGAGAATGATATGTGCAGCATGATTATTGGGTGGTCCACAGCATATGTCAAAGGTCAGAGTGCTCTTACATGTGAGTGGGTCTTTAACGGATTCGCTTCGACAGTGCGTGCAATAAACATTTCAACAATTAATCGCAGAGATTAGAGTTCTATCGCTTAGTTGCTCAGTGTCAATTAAGGGTACGTGCAGCCAAGAGCCTATTGGATATAGGCCCCGTCACCAGTTTTGTGACTATCTGTCATTATTGGTTTTTCCTGCATTAGGTTTCTGGGTCAGTACGCTCAGGCATGGGGGATGATTGCGTGCTACATTGTTTTTCTGTTAATTGTAGGGATTCGGGACACGTATACATAATCTTATGTTATTGATTTTAATCAGGAATGAGTGCAATTACGAGCCTAATATCTATAGGCCCCACCACCTAACATACGTGATTTATTGTCACCTTCTGTTAGAGATCTCTTTGTGATTATGTGCTACTGTTGCACAAATATATTCTCACATTAACTTTATGTAATTAAGACACGATAAGTTTCAGTCTGACTTCTAAAACCATATAATCACATATCTAACGAGAACGGTGATGATTATCAAACAGTTTTTCAAAGTTTAGTTGATTTTCTAAACAGTTGATCGTATTATATAATAAATAATACTTAAGCAATCTCTTGAGAAATGTTTCAACAAATTGCAAGATTTTGGACCGCTATAACTTTGAACATCGGTATTATTTGATAAGAAAAAAAAATTCTTGAGCTACCATCTTGTGACTTATTATTATCATTAGTCATATTATAGAAGCACTTACCTGCCGCGCCTGCATGCAAATGGCGACATTTGCGGAAGGGATTGTAACAAGAAGAAATAAAAAATAACATTTGTGTACTCACCCTCGGGTACTTGTTCACAAGCGCTGAATGGATTTCCGGTGTATCCGTTGATGCATGCACAAACCGCGTGGTGATTCACTACCGAGCACTGAGCGTTCGGACCGCACAAACCGACACACGGATCGCGACACTTTTGTTGCATACAAGCTAACTGCGGCGGACACTCAGGATTAATCGTGCACTCCGGTCGACAATTGGGCGGCAAACCAACATAATTTTCGATACACGAGCACGCAGGACTGTCACCCCTCACTTGACACTCTGCGTTTGGACCGCAAGGCGATGGCAGACACGGATTCATTGGTGCAGGTGGTGTTTCTATAAAGAAATATATTTAAATGAAAAAATTTAGTATATTGAATGCTAGAATAATTAAAATATAATTTGATTATCCAAAAGATATACATATATAAAATTCAAAAACTAACTAATTTTTAAGCAACAAAAAAGCACAGGTTTCTTTTAATAATATGCGCCATTAACAATTTATAAAGATAAAAAATTAATGGAAATTACATAGATATCTCGTTAATAATTTCAGCCATTCTAGATCAATGTTTAGAAATTTTTAAGATCAGTTATTTCTTATAATCATCGATCAATTACAATTGATCCAATTATAAAATACTAAATTTATTAATACTGTAATGTTTAATTTAAATAACTTACTTGGTTGTGGATAACATATTGTGAAGGGATCGCCTGTGTAAGATTCAGAGCAGCTACATATTGGATTATGATTAACCACTTGACAGTTCGTATTCTGTCCGCACGTGCCTGGACATGGATCTTGGCATTTATTATTTAGACACGCTTGTGTCAATGGACAATCAGCGCTAATAACGCATTCTGGTTTGCAGGCGGGTGGACTGCCAATTAAACCAGGTTGACAAGAACATACAGCATGATTATTCACGACTTTGCAGATGCTGTTTGGTCCACAAGGCGAAGGTGTGCAAGGCTGTTTAATGGTATCTGCAAATGAGATGCGAATAATAGTTATCAGAAACGATAATGTAAATATATTTAATATATCGTAAAACTTATATTTTAAAAAATAATTTCCATTTAATATATATATATATATATATAATTCAAAATTAATAATAAACATAAAATTATATAAAAGTTATTATAATATTTATATATTGAATTATATAAAATAATTTTATTTTTATTTCATTATTAGTTGTACTTTTATTTTAACATTCATATATATGTATATTTATACATGTATATTTTTATTATAAAATATAATTGTAAACTTACCATCTGGTATATGTGGTCGGCATAAAAGAAATGGATTTCCAGTGTAACCAGGCGGACAACTGCACATTGGAACGTGATTAACAACGTCGCAACGTGCATCACGACCGCATGTGTCTGGGCAAGGATCCACGCAGTTTTGATTGATGCAAGTTTTAACACGAGGACAATCTGAATTCATTGTACATTCTGGCCGACAATACGAGTATGGATCCCCAAAGTAATTAGGCAAGCACCTGCATACACCTTCGTTACATTCTGTGTTGGGTCCGCAAGGTGACGGACTGCACAAATCTTCGGGAATCTTTGGTTGTTCTGCAACATTAATTTTTCACATTTACATAAATCAATAAAGAAAATAATGTAAAATTTTAAGAAAAGAAAACTTTTATTACTTTATGTTATTTTGAAACGATTTATCAGTATGTATTGTACCTTGCAATAAATTATCAAATTCTATTTATTTCTACGTTTACTGCATAAATTATCTGTATACATATATATACGAGTATATATTTATCTACCAGATTATATTATCTATTTATACTTACAAAACGTTTTATTTAAAAAATCAATTAAAAAAAATATTTATCTGTTTTTTTCGATCAAATATACGAAGTAATTTGTAGAAATTCAAGACGTACCTCTAATTACTGTACACAATGTGAAAGGATCGCCGGAATATCCAGGTTGACACAAGCAAACTGGTATGTGATTCTGTACTCGACAATCAGCATTTTGACCGCAGGAACCAATGCAGGGATCGCGACATTTTTCAGAGATGCAAGCTTGATCCGATGGACAATCTGTATTAACTACGCACTCTGCACGGCAATTGGGCGGTATTCCTATGTAATTTTTCAAACAAGTGCATGCAGCTTGATTATTGACTACTTTGCACTCCGCGTAGAGTCCACATGGGCTAGGGAAGCAAGGATCCACCGGTGGTAGCGGCACAACTAAATGATTAAATATATACAGATATAAATAAATATAGTAATAATAAGAAATAATATGTAACTTTTTAATACTATCCTTACATACGTAAATAAATAAATAGAACACGTTAAACAGTTAATTAAATATATCTGGAAAATTACCAGGTTCAGGGAAACATCTAGAGAAGGGATCGCCCGTTTTTCCTTGCGGACAACTGCAGAGTGGATTGTGATTAATAACACGACAATTGGCTTCAATTCCACATGTGCCGGGGCACGGATCAGTACATTTGTATTTATAACAGGCTCTATTTTGCGGACATTCTGAATTGACGACACATTCCGGCTTGCAATTTGGTGGCACACCAACGAAAGACTCTTGACATGTGCACACGGCTTGATTGTTTACAGCGCGGCACAAGCTATTCGGTCCACAGGGTGAAGGAGAGCATGGATCTCTTACAGTAGGCTCGGTATCCACCTCCGGTTGTAGAGTGCAAGTTGTAAATGGATCTCCGACGTATCCAGGTTCACAAGTACACGTGGGAATGTGATTGATCACTGAACACTGTGCTCGAATGCCGCACACACCTGGGCAAGGATCCTTGCATTTGTTGCGAACGCAAGCCTTATTCGTAGAGCAATCCGCACTGAGGACGCATTCCGGTTGACATCCCTCGTAAGGATTTCCTTGATAATCATCGATACATATGCAAGCGCCAGCATTATCTCGTTGCTGACAGATTGCGTTAGCTCCGCACGGTGAAGGCTCACAAGGGTTCATCGGTTCCTCTGCAGAAAAAATTGTCTAGTATTTAATTGGCTCAAAATTGATTAGCTAAAAAAATGTAATGTTCTAATAAAATATAGACAGCAGAAGTGTAAAAATAATCCCAGCAAAAAATAAACGATTTGATTTAAGAAAAATTAAATCTCGCTCTTGCTTAATATGGGTAAAAAATCAGTCAAAATATGAGTCATAAATAAATGTGTACCTTCTAGCACGCATTGCACGAACGGATTACCCGTGTAGCCGAGTTTACACGAACAAGTTACTGCGTGATTCACCACTTTACACTCAGCGTTGTCCCCACAGGATCCCGGACAGGGATCTTTACATTTCATGTTTATGCAGGATTTTTCCGGCGAACAATCAGGATTGATCAAACATTCTGGTCGACATGATGGCGGAGTGCCAATGTAAGTGGGCAGACACGAACATGACGGTTGTCCATTTGTGTTCTGACAAAGTGCGTTTGGTCCGCATGGCGAAGGATTGCAAGGATCGCCCCGGTCTTTAGGTTCTGGTGGTACTAAAATATTGATACAACATTTTGTATTTATTTGGCCAATTTAATTTGTTCAAAGCTGTTGCAAACATCTCCTGCATTTATTATAATTTTCAAAAAATTGATAAAATCGATCTTTGCTGTGCAATTCTTAAACATTATTAAAATTATATTTAATTCTATTGATATAAAATTATTATCGTTTTATTTGCAAACGAATAATTTAATGTTTCTTACGTGGAATATCGTAACAACTTCTGAACGGATCTCCAGTTTGTCCAGGTAAACAACTGCATATTGGCGAGTGATTGATCACTTCACATCTCGCATTCAGGCCACAGGAACCCAGACATGGATCTGTGCATTTTTTGTTTACGCAGGCTCGCGTTGGCGGACATTCAGAACTAACGAGACACTCTGGTCTGCAGGATGGTGGAGAACCAAGGTAGCCTTGAAGACAGGAGCACACAGCGTGATCTTCGACATTACGACACTGACTGTTCGGTCCGCAGGGCGAAGGCGTGCACGGATCTTTTCGAGAATCTGGTACTGCAGAAAAATTAATTTTTCAATTAACACAAGCTGACTTTAAAAATTTGGTGAAAAATTGGCGCTATAGTTATAATAGCAATGAAATGGAAGAAAATAAAAAAAAAATAGTTTTCTTTGCATACCTCTAGGTTGAACACGGCAGCTAACGAATGGATCGCCAATATATCCAGATGGACAAGAGCAGACAGGAATGTGATTGACTATGTCGCACTGCGCGTTTTGGCCGCATATTCCGGGACAAGGATCCTTGCATTTGTTCTTCAGACAAGTTTTATCGCGGGCACATTCCGAATTAAGAATACATTCGGGACGACAGGCCTCATAAGGATTACCGATGTATTCGGGCAAGCATCTGCAATCACCATTATCGCATATGGCGTTCGGACCACATGGGGATAGCGCACAAGGGTCCGTGGATGGTGATTCTGTAACTACGCAGATAAAAATGTTTATTTTAAAAATAAATTATTAAATCAAATTGATCTGATTTTTGTTTCGCAATTAATTTTTTGCAAATAGCGAAGTATTTATTCATTATATATATAATGCGTTGCTCTATGTTTTTACCTGGTGGAATAATGCTGCATTGCGTAAATGGATCTCCGGTGAAACCTTCCATACACGTGCAAACTGGCAGATGATTTAATACGTGACATTGAGCGTTTATTCCACACGAGCCTGGGCAAGGATCCGCACATCTCTGATTGACACATGCGAGGTGGCTCTTACATTCGGTGCTTAAGATGCATTCCGGTCGGCACTGCGGCGGTACACCAATGTAATTTGGCAGGCAAGAGCAAGCAGGATTACCAGATAATATTTGACACAAGGAATTTGGACCGCAAGGCGATGGAGTGCAAGATGGTGGCCGTTCAGTTATCGGGATTTCGGTAATAACTGAAAAACGATTAGTATATATCTGTATATATCTAACAGAAATTTATGTAAATATATCAATAACATTCCTTTTTCAAATTAATAAATATACAAAGTTAATAAATATATAAAATTAATAAATATGTAAAATATAATTTGGAAAAATGTGATATTAAAAATTCATGTAAATGTAATTCAACGTAAATGTAAAAAGCAATACAATTTTATCTCAGTTTATTTTTTTAGAATATTCATGTTGACGTTAATATATAATAATGTAAAATGTTTACATGTGTAAAATCCTTACCATGTGGCGAGCAGAAAGTGAAAGGATCTCCTGTAAAACCGGCAGGGCAGGTGCAAATTGGATTGTGGTTTTTGGTAATACATTGTGCCTTCAATCCACAGATATTCGGGCAAGGATCTACACATTTTTTATTTATACATGCTAGATGCAGGGGACACTCAGCATTAACGATACATTCTGGTCTGCACGACGGTGGAATACCCCTGTACTCTGGTAAACAGGTGCATACAGGTTGATCGTTGACAACTCGGCATTTACTATTAGGTCCACAAGGTGATGGAGAACATGGTTCTAATGTTTCTAAGGAAAATAACATTGTATTTCTCATGAATTTTTAATTTTATACAAAAATGATTCTTAAAAAACAATTATTTAAAGTGCAGCCTTTCAATAATTATGATTATCGCAATTTATTTGCACAATTAATTATAATAGTGTATCCATATTGATTAAGTACTAAATGTAATAATTATTAGGATTATTTTAACTTAGTTAATTAATAACTGTAATTAATACTTATTTTTCATTTCTAAATTTATAATTCCATTACTAAAAATACTTACTTATCATCTCCTCAATTTCGCAAGCGAAATATGGATCTCCAGTATATCCTGGTGGACACAGGCAGACAGGAACGTGAGCTTGTACGTTACAAATAGATAACGTTCCACAAGTATTGGGACACGGATCTGTGCATTTGAAACCAACACACGCCAACTGCGGTGCGCAGTCATTGTTCGTTTCGCATTCCCTGTGACATCCCTTAATGATATCATACGGATCGCCTATTAGATCTGGTGGACATCCGCAGGCACCTGCTCCGTTTCTTTCACGACATTGCGCGTTGGGACCGCAAGGATTCGGCGAGCACGGATTCGACACGGTCCTATCTGTCGCTATAAATATATAAAATAAAAACTTGTAATATTTAGATATAATTATTATATCTTATTAAATAACTCCCTTCTTCAACAACTTAATTCTATATAAATATCAGAATTTCTATTCACCTGGTGGAGATGCTAGGACGCAGCGCACAGTGGGATCACCCTCATATCCTTCCGGACAGATACAAATTGGAACGTGATTTTGCACTGTGCATCTGGCAATCTCGCCGCAAGCGCCAGGGCAGGGATTCTTGCATCTTTGATTAATGCACGCTGCGGTATTAAAGCATTCCGAGTTGTCGGTGCACTCAGGTCTACAATTCGGTGGACGGCCGATGTAGTTTTGTAAGCAAGAACATGCTGGATGAGAGCCTATCACTCTGCACTGAGAGTTCGGGCCGCATGGATTCGGTAGACAAGGGTCTCCTTCTCCCTTCGGCGACGGCGACGTAGTGCTGATCCTGGTGCAATGAACGAAGGGATCGCCGGAGTAACCACTGGCGCAGCTACATATAGGATTGTGATTCACCGTAAGGCAATTCGTGTTCTGTCCACAAGAACCTGGACACGGATCCGCACACTTGTTATTAATGCACGCTCTGTTCTGTGGACATTCAGAACTGACAATGCAACCCGGTCGGCAGGTGGGCGGAACTCCAGAGAATCCTGGTTGGCAGAGGCACACTGCGTGTCCGTCGTGCGTTCGACAGTTGCTGTTGGGTCCACATGGCGATGGATCACAAGGATCAATTGGCACGGGCAACGGCGTCACGATGATGATGGTACAGCCGTTTACCGGATCACCGGTATAACCCGGCAGGCAAGAGCACATCGGGGCATGATTGACCACGCGGCAAGTGGCATCTTGGCCGCAAGTACCAGGACATGGATTAACACATTTATTGTTCAGACAGGCCTTACTGCGGTCGCAGTCGGCGTTAGTCACACATTCTGGTCTGCAAGCAATGTATGGGTCGCCAAAGTATTGCGGTAGACATGTGCAAGATCCGACTCCGTTTCGCTCGTTGCACACTGCGTTGGCACCGCATGGCGATGGATTACACGGCGTGCGTGGTTGCTCTGTTGTAATAGGCGCTGGAATCAATTAATTATATATAATTATATGATAACTATTAGGAAATAAATAGTAAATCAAAATAACTACATCAGTTTAACACTTCGCCAAATCTTTATAAACAAACACGTACCTTCTACGATTGGTATACATTCCGTAAATGGATCACCCGTGTAACCCTCGTTACAGATACAGACGGGATTGTGTTTTACGACATTGCAATACGTGTTTACGCCGCAAGAACCTGGACACGGGTCCACGCACTGTTCGTTTTGGCACGCCAAATTTCCGGGACATCCTTCATTTATGACACACTCGGGACGGCAATTTGGTGCGCGACCAACGTAATTCGGTAAACACGAGCATGCCGGGAAGCCGTCAATCACCCGACATTGGGAATTCGGTCCACACGGCGAAGGGACGCAAGGATTGCCGCTTGGTTTCGGTAAAGGTGTTACTTCTGTTATGAATTGCGCATCAATACATTAAGATGACTTAGATTTCGTAGATTTTTGCGTGTATTATAAATTCTTATATTAATTTATAATCCAAGTAGTAATTCAAGTAATTCAAATAATGAGAAAATATTAAAAATGTATATAAATTAATCAAATTTCTAGTATATTGGAGATAAAAATTTCAAGACAATGATTTAAAAAAGAATTTGAAAACTTGCCTTCCTTAACGCAACCAAAGAACGGATCTCCGCTATAGCCAATCGCGCAGATGCAGACTGGATTATGATTAATCACTCGGCAGTCTGCATTCACACCGCATGTGCCTAGACATGGATCCTTACATCTTTGATTGATACACGCCGTGTTTGGACTACAGTCCGTACTGACTACGCATTCTGGCCGACATGACGGTGGACTACCGATGTAATTAGGTTGACAGGAGCACACTGCGTGATTATCAATAACGCGGCAGTTGCTATACGGTCCACAGGGAGATGGTTGGCACGTATCGCCCGGTGCTGAAGGTTCTACAAAAAATAGATAATGTTATATACTATTTAAACTCCTTCTTATTTATGGCTATATATAAAAACCTAGGAAAAATTTCACTGACGTACTTATTGGTATATGGCAAGACGTAAGAGGGTCTCCGGTATAACCAGAGAGACAACTACAAGATGGTTGATGATTATAAACTTGGCATTGCGCATTAATTCCGCACGCTCCCACACATGGATCCTTGCACTTGTTGTTAATACAAGCCTTCGTATGAGCGCAATCTGAATTCTGAACACATTCCGGTCTGCAACCCTCGTAGGGATCACCAGTATAATCAGGTAAACAAGTGCAAGATCCCGCGCCGTTACGTTCTTTACATACAGCATTCGTACCGCACGGCGAAGGATCGCACGGTAATTGCACTGGGAAAACAGCTAAAGAGCAAAAATGTGTTTTTAACCGGAACATGCAATAATACATCAATTTAAGATCGCTAAAGTTGTTAAAATCTTACCTTTGGCGCAACCTGAGAAAGGATCTCCTTCATAGCCTTCATAACAATGACAAATAGGTCGATGATTCAACACCGTACAATTCGTGTTAAATCCGCACGATCCAACACATGGATCTAAACATTTCTTTTGAATACAAGCTAAGGAGCTAATACAGTCCTGATCAATCACACACTCTGGCCTACAATTTGGCGGCGCTCCAAACATGCCACTGATACATGTGCATATCGGATGATCCTCTTGAACCCGACAATCAGCATTAGGCCCGCAAGGCGATGGCAAACAAGGATTCGTTGTTGGCGGTAAAGGTTCTGGAAAAAAAAGTATGACAGATTAAATATTTCAAACAGCCTTTTCGTAGAACTCTCAACAATAAATACATTATTTATTTAATTCATAAAAATTGAATTTTAGCAAATGCCTTTAATTTACTACGTTTCTCCTTACAACATGAATTACATCTTCTCGATCATTAGAGATGAGCTCTGCGCCATATGTTTGAAAATTGGAAAAATTAAATATTTTAACTACTATTATATCTTACTGCCTATAATTAACAATACAAGAATGAGCTGGAAAGGCATATTCGGTATTTAATAAAGGTCCATTATTAAACTATTACAATACAATGTATTGTTAACACAATGTATTACCTTCTTTAACGCATTGCGTGAATGGATCGCCAGCATATTGACGAGGACAACTACAAATTGGATTGTGATTGATAACTTGACAATCAGCGTTCAAACCACACAATCCTGGGCAAGGATCATTACACTTTTGATCAATGCAAGCCAGATGAGCCGGGCATTCCGTGCTAACGAGACACTCCGGACGGCAATGTGGCGGAGTCCCTTGGTAACCTGGACTACATGAACAAACTGCACGATCGTTCATTACACGGCAAATACTGTGTGGACCGCATGGCGATGGCATACACGGATTCTGATCTGGCACTACTACAAAAAATGAAACCGAATTAAACTTTTCATATTACATTAATATTGTTCTTATATAGTTAGTATAAACTTATCATTCAATTTTTATCGTACATATATTTTGAATTCAAATAAGATATTTTATGAAAAAGGCAAATATAAAAGTTTTAAAATATCATATTTACACACATATATATATATATATGTATATACATGAAATATTATATATAAACTAACAGTTTATTATAGTAGATTTAAAAAGAAATGTTTAATTATCCAAAGTAACAAAATATTGTATGTATAACAGATAAAACATGCAAAGTACATAAATTGAAATATGTCTACATACGAGGTTTCTCTACTTTACAGGCTCTAAACGGATCTCCGGTATATCCTGGCAAACAAGAACACATAGGAAGATGATCGACGACTTCACAATGCGCATTAGCGCCGCATACGCCTGGACATGGATCTCTACAGTGTTGATTAAAACAAGCCAGATGACTTTCGCAATCCCGATTAATAATGCACTCGGCTTCGCAACCATCTATATACGGATTACCGACAAATGGCGGTATACATGTGCATTTAGCTATGCCATCGATTGCCGTGCAAATAGCGTTTTTGCCACAGGGTGATAATAGACAAGGATCGTATGGTTCTTCTGGTCGTACTGCAATAATATAATTAATAAAACATTTTATTGTTAATCGTTCAATGTTTTATAGTTATATGTTATTTAAGATGTTTATATATATCGCGAAAGTTTATTATAGAAGATGTTTGTATATCGCAAAAACTTTTTAATTTAATATTATGAATTATAAATTTATAAACAAAATAATTGAAAATATAAAGCATTTTAAAGAATTTTTTTACATTAAAAAAATGTTTTAATTAAACCAGTAAGCCCAATAAAATTGTAATGAACTTGTACAAATAAACTCAATAGTTTGTTTAGTTAAAGTTATTATAATTTTTAAGAAATATATAATAATTTTAAGAGTTTTAATATTTGGTAATGAGTTCTTTTCATCTTATATTACTCAATTATTGATTACAATTACCTCCGCAACTCTTGTATGGATTTCCAATTGTGAGATCTGGACAGTAACAAGGTGGTACTCTCGTGCTATTGCATCTCGCTCCGAAACCACACAGATTAAATTCACATTGATCGGCTTTTGGCACGCATCCTCTAATAGTATTAGGACTTTCAATGTAGCCAGATAGACAGGTACACTTCGCAAAGCCATTATCCAACACGGAGCAACGAGTATTAGGACCGCATGGAGAAGGATCACAGGAGATACTAGGAAGTGTACAGGGGAAATTCGGTGGATGACCTTCATATCCTGGTAAACAGAAGCATTTCACCTGTCCACTCACCACTCGACATCCTGAATTAGCACCGCAAGGATCACCTTCACATTGGTCACCTTCGGGAACTAGATACATTACAAAATTGATTCGTTAAAGGATTAATTTTTTTTACACACACACACACACTCTCTCTCTCTCTCTCTCTCTCTCTCTCTGTTATACTTGGATCTACATTTATAATTTAAAATAACAAAATAAACGTCATAATTATACTTCGTAAAAAATGTATACATACTGCACTGCTCGAACGGACTTCCAGTTAGACCTTTCGGACAGAAACAAACGGGATTTCCATTGTCATTCTCGCATAAAGCGTTCAAACCGCACGGATTTGGAACGCAAGGATCGACAGTCAGCACTATCTCCTGACAGCCAATGTGAGGATTTCCTTGATAACCTGGAAGGCATGTACATTGCGCTTGATGATTACTGGAGACGCATTTCGCATTATCTCCGCAATCAAACTCGACGCAAGGATTAATACACTGTCTGTTGAGTCGATCGCAGTATTTGTTCGGAGGACAGTCTTCGTTATATTGACAAATATTCTTCGTTTCTTCCACTGAAATCGTAGAATATGCTAATTTATTTTTGCACATATTTATACATGAATTTCTAACTAAATGTCGTTGACAATATTTGTAACTCTTATTTGTGCTAATAATTTGCATTAGATTTTCGCATCAACTGTTCTGAATATTACCTATCAATAATACCTATCAATAATTTATATTATATAATTTCTGATGTTTTATTTATTTGCATTATCTGATATCTCATTGTAAAACTTACACAAATCGCAATAAGAGAATCCATTTCCGTGATAGCCTTCTTCACAACTGCAATCTGCTCCGTGATTTGTATTAATACAAACAGCATGTTCCGCACAGGGATTTCGAACTAGGCAGGGTTCCTGGCAAGCGTGCCCAATGCACGCTTCTGTCAGAGGGCAATCCTTGTTGCTAGTGCAACCCGCTAAAGAAAGAGTGGGAAAGCCCATGTAGCCCCAGAAAGTGTAGTGCACAAGTATAAGAATTGAGATAAAGAAAATTTTCTTTGCGTAGCAATGTGTGATTTTCTTGACTTTTATGTGCGAAAAAGTATGCGAATTTTCGATCAAGAGAAAAACATTCTCCGAGATAAGAAAGATATATTCAGAAAAAATATAAGGAATATCTCAAAGAGATTATTCTTTGTGATCATGCACGACAGTAATAAAACTGAACGTTTCGTGCTATGTATGAAGAGGATCTTATGCATAATTTGCAAAATATTTACGTGAAATATGTACAGTACATACATATTTACAAATCTCTCGACGGCTATAAAAAACTGAAAATAAAATCAGATGAAACCAAGTATAGTGCTGGCGATAGTACGAACCTTTGATGCAAGTGTTTGTCGATGGATCGCATTGCATACCAGGTGGACAATAAGGACATTCTGCCTCGTTGGACTCCACTAAAAAAATCGTATACAATATAAATTTTGTTATTGCGGATGTGCGAAATGTTGTTCAATTCAATTGCAAATATACCTTTAACGCAAACCGGCCTATGATATTGAACATGGCAAGCTTCGATGAAGTCGCATGGATTGCCCAAAGTGCACGGATTTACGCATTGATGATTTACACAAGCCAATTGGATGGGACAGTCGTTGTGCGTTGTACATTTCACGTCTAACGAAACAAATGTACATTAGGTGCAGGAATTAATGTTACGAATGATGAGAAAGTCGTGAAATGTTAATGTACATGTCCCAATAGAAAATCTATTTGACCTCAGTTTAAACTGCTATTTTTGTATTTTTTTTTGTATATCAAAAACAGCAGTTATAAAAAATGCACAATTACTTGGATCTATCACATGGGTGTGTCAGTGCAATATATATAAACATAAATATACAAGGACGATGTACTCTTTCCTTTAAGACATATAGTGATATTTGTGTTACATATGTGTCAATAAGTATATAGCAGCTTAAAAAAAGACATTGATCGAAATTGTCTACATCGAGCGAAATCATCTTTCACACGCATGCACGCACACAGAGAAGTTCTAATTTATTTTATAATAACTCAATAATCCTAATTTTACGCAAAAACTTTATAAACTTTGCAAACGACATGTCACAGTATTACTATATATCATAAGTTTGCATAAAAGATAATTTCTTCTAAACGCAGACGATTAAAATTGCAATTCATTATACACACGTTAGATACAAAGAAGCTGTAAGAGAGAAAATCGTGCATAAGCATTAATGTACACATCATGCGTAGAGCGCTAATGCAGCAGTCCTTTGTCTGCATTTGGGAAAACAGTGTCTGACTGCTTATTGACTATTTTCGATTCGGTCATCACATGGGAGGACACACAGGTTCGTTATGAGCTGCCCTTATGATATCGATCACATTTTCATTCATGAATTTACACCGATGAGCCATTTCATGAAATGACTAATTCGGTAAGCAGTGTCTACAATTTCCAGAATTGGTTGCTCCCAATTTTCATCTGGATACGATCATATGGCCTCATACACTGGAGGAAGCTTGTAAAAAACATTGGTGACAGTAAACATAAAATGACACCACACTTATGAAAGTGTTCCCGACAAGAGAAATTTTTACCTGGGAGTACACTACAATTAGACGTACTCTGCTCGATACTTGAGTCTAAGCACACAGGCCGATGATTTACAACGTCGCATAAAACATTCTCTGGACATGAATCAGTTTTACATGGATTCCGACAAAAACTATCGATGCAAGTTTCGCATTCTGTACAATCTGTATGTAAGATACAAAACATATCTGTTTTATTCTGGGTAATTTCAGACGTCGTATAATATTCTGTAGTCAGAGATTGCTCTGTAGATTTTTCAGATGTAATAAATTCTGTGGTAGAATATTCTTCTGTAGAGTATTCAATTGTACTATATTGTATTGATTGCGTAGATGTGATAAACTGTTCAGATGGATATTGAAATGTGCTGTACTGTTCTGTAGTAGAGATCTGTTTTGCTGTAGACTGTTCAAATGTAGTAGGCTGCTCAGATGTCTCAAATCCTACTGTAGTGGAAAACTTTTCTGTGGTATAGATCTGGTCTGTAGATTCTTTAGTTGACGTATACTGTTTCGAAGTAGTGTATTGCTCTGTTGGCTCTTGTGATGTTCTGAATTGTTTCGTTATAGAATATACTTCTGTAGAATATTTAGGTGTGCTGTATTGCTCTGTAGTAGAGATTTGTCCCGTAGATTGCGCAAACGTAGAGTATTGTTCTGTTTGTTCTGATATCTTAAACTGTTCTGTAGTAGTATATCCTTCTGTTAAATATTTCAATGTGTTATAATGATCTGTAGTAGAAATCTGTTCCGTAATTTCTTCAGTTGAAGTATACTGATTTAAAGAAGTATATTGTTCTGTAGGTTGTTGTGACGTTGTAAACTGTTCTGTTGTAGAATGTTCTTTTGTAGTGTTGTATTCAGGAGTGCTATATTGCTTTGTAGTGGAGATTTGTTCTGTAGATTGTTCAAATGTAGTGTATTGATCTGTTTGTTCTGATATCTTAAATTGTTCTGTAGTGAAATATTCTTCTGTAGAATATTCCGAGGTATTATAATGTTCTGTAGTAGAGATCTGTTCTGTAATTTCTTCAGTTGAAGGATATTGATTTGAAGAAGTATATTGTTCTGTAGGTTGTGACGATGTAAACTGTTTTGTTGTAGAATATTCTTTTGTAGTGCTATATTTAGGAGTGCTGTATTGTTTTGTAGTGGAGATTTGTTCTGTAGATTGTTCAAACGTAGTGTATTGTTCTGTTTGTTCTGATATCTTAAATTGTTCTGTAGTGAAATATTCTTCTGTAGAATATTCCGAGGTATTATAATGTTCTGTAGTAGAGATCTGTTCTGTAATTTCTTCAGTTGAAGGATATGGATTTGAAGAAGTATATTGTTCTGTAGGTTGTTGTGACGTTGTAAACTGTTCTGTTGTAGAATATTCTTTTGTAATGGTGTATTTAGGAGTACTGTATTGTTTTGTAGTGGAGATTCGTTCTGTAGATTGTTCAAATGTAGATTGTTCTGATATCTTAAATTGTTCTGTAGTGAAATATTCTTCTGTAGAGTATTCCGAGGTATTATAATGTTCTGTAGTAGAGATCTGTTCTGTAATTTCTTCAGTTGAAGTATATTGATTTGGAGAAGTATATTGTTCTGTAGGTTGTGATGTTGTAAACTGTTCTGTTGTAGAATATTCTTTTGTAGTGCTGTATTGCTTTGTAGTCGAGATTTGTTCTGTAGATTGTTCAAATGTAGTATATTGTTCTGTTTGTTCTGATGTCTTATGCTCTGTAGTGGAATGCGCTTCTGTAGAATATTCAAATGTACTATAATTGTCTGTAGCATCAGAGATCTGTTCCGTAGGTTGTTGTGATGTTCTAAATTGTTCTGTTGTAAAGTATCCTTCCGTAGAATTTTCTAGCGTGCTATGTTGCTTTGTGGTGAAGATCTGTTCTGTAATAGAATGATCTTCTGTAAATGTACGATGTTCTGTAGTAGAAATCTGTCTTGTAGACTCCTCAGTTGTAGTATACTGTTTTGTAGTATATTGTTCTGTTGCAGAAATATGAGTGGCTTTGTGAGAACCGCTGTCAATAATATTTGTCGTAAATGTAGGAGACTCAGATGTTGTAAAAAATAAAGTAGTATCTTTTATATATGGCTCAGTTGTATCAAGCGAATCAGTTTTAACAGTGCTCCATTCTTGTGTGATTTCTTTGGCAATATCTGTGGATGTATACTCTAAGACATTCGGGGATGACATTGTATGATTTGTTTGAGTAAAAAATGTTGTAGTAATCATTGGATTAGTGGTACTTTCCACAGAGGGTTCAGTAATTTCTTTTAATGGCTTTACTGTTAATTCTGTGGTAGTAGAATATTGCGTAGTAATAGATTGTATAGTTGTTGCTAATGTGGAAGTTTCTTCACCACTTACATTAGGAACTTCTACGGTAGGAACTGTAGTTATATTCTCAGGAACTTCAGTAACGCTACTTGTTTTCAATGGCTTAGAAGTCGTTATTTCAGTATTCATGCCAGATACAGTAACATCAGTAATCTCGGTACGACTGAATGTAACTGGAGAAGTGGCAGTAATATTTTGAAAGGCAGTTGTTCCAGTTATTTCGGTTGTTGTAACATTTTCTTCATAGCCAAATTCAAATTCACTCTTTGTTGTCTCAGTTACAGTAGAAGAAGATCCTGTAAAAGTTTCTTCTGTATTATATATGGTTGGAGTACTATGCGTCGTTTGTTCAATTTTAGAAGTAATACTGCGTGCTGTTGTATATTCTGTTGAAGTAGTTTCAATTTCAAAATTAGTAGTTTCAAATGTTGAAGTGGTAAAGGGACTAGATGTTGCATTCTCTAAATCATCAACGTTTATCGTCGAAATTAAAGTATCATTTAAAATGTTAATTTCGGTTGTACTTAATATCGAAGATATGGTCGTTGAACGTTCCGGAGACTCGGTAACAATTTCTGTCGATGCAATTGTCGTATCTGATTCACTTGTCGTTTCAATAGTAATATTTTCCAATAAATTTCCGGTAACGTCAGTTAAAGTAATCGTACTTTCCTCCGTATATGCAACGGTTAACATCTCCGTAGTGGAAACGGATGATGTGGATGGCGGAGTGCCCGTTGTTGTTTGTAATGTAGTGTGAACTGTCTCAAAAGTATGATCTAAATCTATAGAACGCAATGTCGTTGCACCATGAGATGAACAATGTTTGTCGTTAAGCTCGCAATCACAAATAGGCCTGTGCGCTTCAACTCGACATTGAACTGCCAGTTGACACCCATTGATACAGGGATTAACACAGGAGCTTTCGACGCAGGCTTCTGCGTCGCTGCAATCATCATCGGACTCGCAAACTGGCTTGGACATGGGATGAAGAACTGCTGCGGATACAATATAATGTAAACATAATATCTAATAAAGTAGCAAAACTGCTAATCGGGGAGCGACTCTGATTAGGCTAAGCTACAGATAAGTTTACAGTTTTTATTTCAATTACTACAAATTAAGAGTTAGCATGCTCGCATATAATAGGTAAGCTGATTGTAAGAAATATATAAGTCTTTACAGAGACAGATGTAACGGAAGAATCCTTCAGTAATAAGGAGATCGGCAAAGTAGAGCAGGAGTCTAAGGTATGGGAAACTTGTATCTGTAACTTGGAACCTAAAATATGCGTCCAGACAACAGAACAAAGAAACTTGTGCATCCAATTGCAACTTGACAAAAACGATCTTGTAAATTTAATAAAAAATTAAATAAAAATCTCAAGTTAATCAGAAGTAAGCAAGTTTTATATTCTGCTGTTTGTACGATCGGAAACCTGAAAAGTAGCAATTGTATGTCTCGTGTAAGGCCAGGCAATGTAAAGATGTGATAACGGCTATGAGAAATGACAAGATTCAGATAGTGTTCTGAGAAATTGTGTTTACCTTTCATGCATCCGTATTTAGTATCTGGCACAAAGCCGGGGGGACAGAACTTGCAGATAGGCTTGTGCTCCTCCACGTAACAGGGGGCATCAGCCGGACAGGTAGAGTTTCTGCATGGGTCCACGCAGCGATAGTTACGGCACGCCAAATCTGGAGAGCAGCCACTGTCTCGCAGGCAAATGGAGAGGGAGGGATTGCAGTTTTTGGTGCAAATGCACACGGGACGGTGGTCCAGGACATCGCAGGTTTTATCGGCTGGACACGGTCTTTTGTTTCTTACATTACAGGGATTTTGACATTTCCCATTGACGCACGCAGTGTTCGAGGGACAATCAAAGTCTCTCGAGCAGGTAAGCGTGTCAGGAGCGCAGGTCAATTCCCCAATTTCGTTGACTACGAAGCCGTATTTGCAAACACACATAGGTTTGTGATTCCGCACCTGACATCTCTTGTTGACCTCGCAAGTATACCGAGAACTCAAACACGGGTCGCGGCACTCGCCTGTCTGCGAGTGGCAGGAGAGACTCTCCGGACAGTCGTAGTCGGAGGAACAACCGATGCTCGGCGTAGGTTTGGGATTGAGCGTGTCGCATTTGGAATCTGGATGGCAGGCCGTGTGGGGCATGCCGATATAACACTGCGGGCATGAGCAACGCGGCTTGTGCAGAACCACTCGGCACAGGGCATTGATCCCACAGGCACCGCGTAGCGCGCACGGGTCCAGACATTGTAGATTTATGCAGGCTTTTTCATTGGGACACTCTAAGTCGCTGGTGCATTCGCGCTCTATTGTCACGATAGTGGTGTTCAAGTCGGTGTAGAGTCGGTGGATCGTGGGTGATGGGACAGGAAAAACAAAGAAAAAAGCATTTATAAGAACTGTGAAAAGAAACTTTCTCACAAATAACATAAACCACATGCTTTGTATTTATGATGAAAGTAGGGTAGGCTCTGTGAAGAGGTATAGAGTAACGACTTTACACTTTTTCAAAATATCAGACATCTTCTCAGAGAAATTACAATGGCAAGCAGCGATATTTACAACACAAGCCCCCACAGATTTCAGAATAAGAGGAAATAACAACCCGTGAATATCAGCAAATATCAAGCATGGGTATATGAGAATGTCCCTTTCGCAGTTCCCAATCTGTATTAATCCTAAAATAGATATATGGTGTCGACTGTAAATGTGTACCTCCTTGTATTCAAGTGGCACTATAAGGCAAATGAGTGTCTTTTTGTTTATTCAATTATATCCTCAAGACAGATTGGATACTGAAATAAACATTCTACATATGAAGTTATGTGTGAGATATGTGTGGAACGTGTTCTCTCATCTCAAAATTATGTACAGTATATCCTATATTGTATAATATGTACAGGTAATGTTGTACTCTTTGCTTGTAGGTAAAATATGTATATATCCAATATCGTGGCGACATACTGCTCCAATCACATCTGTCTCTCGATGTTAAGGTTTTCACTCGATTAATACGTTTAAGTATTACTCAAGTCCTACTAAACGATACATGGTTATTCTACGGACCATGTTCCTGTGATTGTCAGTATTGCTCGCTAGTCACAAATGCTGTACATAAAATTAATCAATCGCGGCTCGGTTAAAAAGTTAGTAGGCTGTATTTTCCTACCTGTTGTGCATTCGATATCTGGCGAACCGCTTGTACCTGGTGGACATCGGCAAACGAATATAGCTCCATCTCTAATGCATTCGGCGTTCTTCCCGCATCCATTCGTTCGACAGTCTCCTAAATCTCTATCTGAGCTACCTATATCAACAAATCGTTAGTGATAATATCGATCAAAAATAAATTGTTATATTATTTTATTATCCTGCCATAATATTAAAATATATTTTAAGATATTGCATAGTTATATCTTGTTATATATTTTTTTTTATTTATTTATTTGTTGTAATAATGATACATACGTGTAAAAAAATTTCCTCAATTTATTTTGATATTATTATTTCCCTATTAATGTATATCTTGTCAGATCCAATAATACGAAATATAGTACGTACATGCGTGCATTGGATCGCCCGATGGATTATTCGGTGGACAATAGCACTGTGGCTGATTCTTATAAATTCGACAGGCTGCATTGATGCCACAACGAGTGTCTTTGCAAAGATCGCCGTCGCAGAGACACACTTGGTGTGGGTCACCATGGCATCCCGGATCACATGTGCACTCGAAACCATTTAGAGTTTCTCGGCACTTAGCGTTAATACCGCAAGGTCTTCGTAAGCATTCATCTCCACCTAAGAGTGATTAAAAAATCGCGCGTATTAAAAAAGTCATTTTCGCAAATATAATTTCTATAAATGTAATGGACATGCCTTTCTTGCAGTTGATCTTCGGATTGCCAAAGTGTCCTGGCGGACAAGAACATTGTGCCTTCCTGTTGATCACACGACATTGCGCATTGAAGCCACAGACGCCATGCTGTAAGCACGGATTTGTGCAAACACCGTATTCGCTGCAATGTTTGTTTAGTTCGCAATCATCATCGTGATGACACTCCAGTTGATAACACTCCTGACTCGGTTCACCCTGATAGCCTTCTGGACATAAGCACACCGCTCGATGACTCGAAACACGGCAAAGTGCATTTATTCCGCAAGGCGATCCCTGGGCGGAACATGGATTCTCACACTGGCCATTTGTGCATGACAATGACGACGGACAGTCGGAGTGGGTGCGACAGCCAATGAGGCATAAACCTCCATCGCATACGTATCCCTGTATTTAGTAAAAAAAAACGTATAAGTTTAATATTAATATATTATATTAACATTAAGTCAAAAGACGATAATTTCTCTCAATATTTTCTCTTGAAATTTACCTTTGGACACGCGTTATTGATGTCGCACTTGATGCGACATTTACCGCTATGACAGACTTCGCCGCAAGAACAATCGTTCTGATGGTGGCAGCTGGTGGTGCAAAAGCCAATTTCGTCGCACTCACACGAGCCGTCGCAGGGAGTCATGGTCTTGGCACAATTAATTAGCGCATTACCATAATAATTTGCGGGACAACTGCATTGAGCCACATGACTGACTACTCGACAACCGGCACACTCTCCGCACGCTTTGCCACCATCACATGGACCTGAAGATCACAATGCAATTACATTACTCGATTGAAACATTTCAAATCTAATCTAATGTATCAATGGTTGTATTCGGTTTTGACGTTCACGCACTGTAAATTTCATTCTATCTTTATTACATACGGAAGGATGATAAAATGAAATCTACTCATACGTGAAACTATATTTACTTCTGCATTGGTTGTTGATACAAGACTCATCGCTCGGACACGTGTTATCACTGCGACATCCAATATCACACATGCGATTGTGACATATTTGATTTGCGAGGCAATGATCATCGCTGTTGCATATCGCTTTGCAAATACCACCGTCACAACGTTCGTCGCTCAAACAATTCGCATCGCTGAAAAGATATAATCACTTAGTATCAAAATACTAAGTTATATAAAATTATACGATTTGTTCATAGTTATGTATTCTAACCTTCTGCACGTGGAATAGCACGATCTACCGTAACACGTTTGTCCTGGTAAACATTCAAGTTCAGATGAGCAAGGAAGGAACGTCTGCTTGCAACCAATACGAGCATCTCCTACCAACGGCGACGGACACGTGCATATCTTTTGATGATTAACGATTGTACATTTGGCGTTTACACCGCAGGCGCTAGCCAATGAGCACGAATCTGTAGGCAAAGAATAATTAAATAGAATAATAAAGGCTAATAACAATAATAATAAAAATAAACGTTTATACAAGAAAAATAAAGTACAAACAAACAAAAATAAATTCCAAATGATACTAATGTCCCTTTGACAGAATTACAAAAAAAAAAAAATAAAAATATAAAAAATCTCAATAGCCACCTACCAATACACTGATTGTTTATACACTCATAACTGTCCTGGCATTCAATGTCCGCTCGGCAACCGGAAATGCATACTAATCCCTCGCAAATCTCGCCGCTTCTACAATCTTCGTCCCGTCTGCAAAGTGACTTGCAAATGCCAGAGTTGTCACATCTCTCATTGCTCAAGCAGTTCGCGCTGGATGAACAGACGGGTGTGCAAACGCCAGCGATACAAGCTGTGCCCACAATACAATCCCGATTGGCCTGACATATTGGGCCCGGTGTTCTCAGACACGCGACTTTGGCAGTTGGGTTTGGTATAAAACCGGTAGAACAGGAACACGTAGCACGCTGATTGAAAACAGTACATTTGGCGTTTGGTCCGCATGGCGTAGCTTCACATGGATTTACGCATTTGTTTCCTAAACAAGCCTCATTTGCATTGCAGTCTTCATCCGCACGACAACCAAACGAGCACATGTTGTTCAGACAGACATGACCCAAGAAGCAATCATTGTCCAACCGGCAAGTCAACAAGCAATTGCCGCGTATGCATTTCTCGTTCAATGCACAATCGTTGTCAACAGTGCAGATCGGTAAACAAACGTTCTCGCGACAGGTGTTGTCTCCGTTGCAATCTCCGCTTCCGAGACATGACACTGGTACTATAATAATACATGTTTTATAGAATGTTCAAAGAGATATCCAAGATGTTCAAATTTTGCAAACTCATTCATACACTTACGTCTTACGCATTCTACTTCGGAGTTGCCGGTAAAACCTGGTGGACAGCTGCACTGTTTAATATGACTTCTCACTTTGCATTCGGCATTTATGCCACATGTTCCTCTTACACTGCACTGATCTAAGCATTGCCCGTTCAAGCAAACATCGGACAAGTTACATTCCTCATCCGATTGACAAGATGCTGAAACGATATTATTTGCGATATTATTAACGATATCATTAAATACAATAACGGAAAAATTGCTTCTCAGATAGTTATTTATATGGAAACGTTGATTTTAATAATCACAAAAATCGAGCAAATTAAAAATCTAACAATTATTTACTCACGTCGACAAATGCCTTCATAACAATAAGTGTTGATCAAACAATCGATTTGTGACGAGCAAACTACTGGTCTCGGACGACATCCCACGCTTAGATTATTAGGATCGCCTTCGTAATCGGCACGACACTGACAACTCGCGGCATGATTGCTTGCGACACAATCTGCATTTGGACCACACCGAATACGTGCGCAAGTATCTGGAATAAGAAGATTAAATATAATATATAATAAATAAAATAAAGTTTCAAATCCCACATACATACAAGCATTATAATTATACATATAAAGATAATAGAATTATAAAATGCAATCACTGAAATAATACTATAAAACAAATTGACAAGTTTAAAACATATACCGAAACATTTTGGTATATTATTGATGTTGACACATTTGGCAGTTAACGGACAGTCCACGTCCTGAAGACATTCTACCGGCGGTTGACAGCCGCTGTTATAAGGATCTCCGACTGTACCAGGTTGACAATGACACTTGAAATGTCCTCGCGTGTTTTCGCACAATGCGCCCGGTGCACAGGGTGCATTCGCGCAGTAATCTATCAGCTTGCAAGCACGAGTAGGTTCTCCTGTATATCCAGGTTGGCATGTACAAACCTATATGACAAAACATTATTATCATAAAAAGAACACTGTCAAACAAAACTCTAGTGTAACGAAATAATTACCTGGACATGTTTCTCTGTTGTACAAATAGCATTCACGCCACAGGGATTATGTGCAAGACAAGCGATTCTGCATCTGTGAGAATCGCAGATCTTCTCCTGTGTACAGTCATCATTAACTTCACATTCAATAGGTTGACAACCAATTTTGTCGTCTTTAGCGTTTCCGAAGAAGCCATGCTCACAGGAACACGTTGCGGCATGATCGTCAGCTTTGCATTCGGCGTTACGACCACAGAGTATTACATCGCAAGCTCTACGACACTCCGCCTTGATTGAAAACAATAGGAAGAAAAACTTATATATCGGGAATTCTTTGTCGAATCGGCCACTCACTGTTTCAAAATTGTACTTGACGTAGAAAAATCACCTTGCACAATGGGTGCTTTCCATTTGATGACACAAGTGTCGTTCTATCTTTGTCACTCTCTAAATGTCAACAAGAATAGAACGACGCTTGTGTCGACTTATGTCATCAAATGGAAAGCACCCGTAGCTTCAGGCATAAGCTATCGAAAGCCATGTAACAATTTAAGATGGCGAATTCAATATATAGCGGACATAAAGCACAAAAAAAGGAAATAAAATAAACGACAGTGCCAATACTCGTTGAATTCACTTTAAAGTTTGTTTCCAAGTGTGTCGACCTTGATTAAAAATCCGCTGTCAAATTTAAAAAACAAAACAATTAAAAAGCAAACAATTAGAAAACAAAAGAATTAAAAAACAAAAAATTAAAGAATTAAAAATTAAAAAACCAAAAAATTAAAAAAAAAGTGCAGGCTTTATGTACATATACGTGTTATATAGGCTGCTTTCCATTTGATGACACAAATCGACACAAGTCGACACAAATGTCGTTCTATCCTTCTTGATATTCAGAGAGTGACAAAGATAGAACGACACTTGTGTCGACTGTGTCTCCTAAAAGGAAAGCAGCCATAGATTCGAGTCTTAACCTGCTGTGAAATGCAAAGAGCTTTTCGATTGATCTATTTTGCACTTTTATATCCGCCACTTTAAATTTCTGAAATTTGACAACAAATTTGTAATCAGGGTCCACAACACACTTGAAAACAAATTTTAAAGTACATTCAAAGAGTACTGACATTGTCTTTTATTTTATTTCCTTTTTCTTCTGCTCCATGTCCGCCATATTGGATCCGCCATCTTGAATTTTGCAATTGTCCACATGGCTTTCAATGGCTGCGTTCGGGCAGCGCGCTATCAACGCTATTTATGTCATGCTATCCTTGTTTCACGTTTAATGGACGATGAAGATAGAATGACACAAATAGTGCAAATAGCGTTTCCCCGAAGCCAACAGCTTATGTCTGAAACTACATTTGTGTGCAAGGTAGTTTTTCTACGTCAAGTACAATTTTGGAACGGTGCCGGTGAGTAGCCGACTTGACGAAGAATGGCCCATATATATACATATATATATTTCTCTGATAGAATCGATAAGAAAATAATTTTACTCGTAATTAAAATTGTATTTTTAATAAAACATAGGATTACCTGTCCAATATTATTCTTAATACATTTTTCGTCGTATGAGCAGTCATTGTCTGACGTACAACGTAATTCTTGAACACATATATTATTATGGCAGTATTGATATTCTGGACAGCTAGAATTACTTCTGCAAGTAGGCTGACAAAGACCATTAATACAGAGTTGATCGCCGATGCAATCTCTTGTACTTCCACAAAGCGCTGCAAATAGCAACAACCAGATTGTACATGAAATTTAGAGATTTTGAAAGTATATGATTTATAAATTAACTACACTTCTTCGTAATTGTCCGATGATTAATTTACCTGTGCATATCCCTCCGTTACACACTGAACCGGTTGCACACTGTGAATCACTTTTGCAATATTGAAGCGGAGTGCACCCAAGATTCGGATCACCTGTGCCGCCAGGTTGACAGGTGCATACCGCGCTATGATTAAGCGATGAACAGTCAGCACCGTGTCCGCAAACGTTCGAAAGAGAGCAGGGATCAACGCACTTATGATCGAAGCATGCATCTGATGGACTGCAGTCACTGTGATAGTTGCATTCCAGATGAATACATTCCGTCTAAAACAAATAAGATATAAATAGAAATAAGATAAAATTAAAAGTAAAAAACTATAATTAACTATACAAATATTTAAAAGTTTAGAATATTAATTTTAGTAATAGATTATAATATACAAAATATTGTATCAATGTTAAATGGTTAAATTTTAGAAAATTTGAAACTCAAATTTTTAATACTCACTGCCGGATTTCCTGTAGTTTGTCCAGGACATCTACAAATCGGAACATGATCACGTGCGAGGCATTCTGCATTTCTACCGCAAATGCCCGGTGCATCGCATGGATTAGTGCATCTGTTATCAATACAAGCGGCTGAATTTGGACAATCTGAATCCGTGAAACAGTCACCAGGTTGTTTACAACCCGTTTTGAATGGATCCCCTACTAAACCATGCGGACAAACACAGGCGAACGATCCCTCCGCATTCTGACATCTATACATTTTTTAAATATTTTATTTTAAAAAGATCTATGAATTATAAACTTTTCTTCTCGCATAATTACTTGTAATCATAAGTTTCACTCACATAGCTGAGGAATGGCAAGGATTTTGCAAACATTCGTTAACGTCAGCGCAGATGTCGCCGATAAGAACAAAGCCAGAATAGCATTTACATACGCTGACGTGATCGATAGCTAGGCAATTACCATATCCACAGTTTACTTGATTGCAAGGACCTGACAAAACGAACAATCAAAAATTTTAAGAACCTTATAATTATTTTCTTTTCTAAAATTATAATTTTATCTTTTCTTATAAAACTAATCAAAATGAATGTAGTATTTATTGATGTAAGCGCATTATAACTTACTGCTACATTTATTGGTCTCTTGGTTACAATATTTATCCGTTGGACAGTCACTGTTAGAAAGGCATTCTACTTTAAAGCACCCTGAGGCATCGCCAATGTAACCAGGCTGGCATTGACAACCAGCTGCATGATCCAAAACGGAACAAATAGTATTTAAACCGCAGTCGACAAAAGAGCACGGATCTGAACAGTTGTGTTGAACGCAGGCTTGAGTATCAGAACAGTCCTTGTGCGTGGTGCAGTGATGCGGGAGCACACAGCCCAATCCTATAGGATCGCCCGCGGTACCTGAAGGACATGTGCAACGGTAAGATCCATGAAGATTGATGCACTCAGCACTTGGATGACATGGTTGATCATCACACTCGTTGATGTCCAGGCAATGTTCGGGACCGACAATAAATCCGTGGCTGCATCTAAGAAAATAAATTAAGCGTCACAAACCTTTTAGGATAATTAGTTATAGATATTTAAAAAAGTAAGAACGCAATATATACATAAGTGATTAATCAATAAAATAAGTCTGGATTAAAAAGGCAATACCTGCACTTGCTGTTAATGCATACTTCGTCGCGTTTACAGCCGACATCCGAGGTGCAGCCCGCCTCGCACGCTCCATCGATACACAATTCGCCGGGCAGACAATTACTGTCGCTGTAACATATCTTTACGCAAACGCCATTCTTACAGCGCTCGCCTTGCGCGCAATTGTTCTGTTCTGAACATTGACACTGGCATAATCCCGAGACACACAGATGCTGGCTGGGACAATCTTGCGGAGTTTGGCATACGTTTGGTACTCGAACGCAACCTTGTTCTGGAGTAGGATTACCATGGAAACCGAGAGGACATGTGCATGTGATCGCGTGATTACTGCAACTGCAGATCGCATTTGGTCCACACACGTCTTTTCTACTGCAAGGATCTAGAAACACACAAGTTTCTTGTTTTTCTTTCAAGAACTACGACTGACATTATTTCATACATTGAGAAACAAATCGTGTTTTTAAGTTAAGGAGAAAGTCTCATATAATTAGTTTAAAAAATCAAAATTTTTACTTTAATCAATAATAGAACATATGTAGAAAAATTGATAAGAACAAATAATTTAAACTATTGTTATTACATAAATAGAATAAAACTTTGTGAGTTAAAATCGTACTTTTCTTTAAGTAACGCCATTTATTCAATTTGCAACTTTTTGCTTATTTTTCAGGTTCATTGAATTTCAGGTAATTTTATAGAAAATAAGCAAAAATTTTGATTTTTTATTTCAGATAAGAACAAAAACCACTACAATGTCCGCCAAGGCTATACATATAGATCTAACTATTTATAGCCATTATATTATTATTTTTTTAAACTAAAAATATTTTTTTACTTTTTAAATTATGCGTTAAAACACATAAAATTTTTTAATTAATTCGTTGCATTATTTCTTAAAAAAAATAATTTTTTAAAGTTATCTATTTTTCAGCAATTTACATGAGATTCCCCTTTAATAGATTTTATGTCTGTATAATAATTAATATACATATGTATGCAAAAAATCTATTTGAAACGAATATGAGTCAAAATTATACTATAATGTGGCTCGTGACATACCTTGACATTTATTGTTGATACACGATTCGATAGTCGGGCAATTTTTATTACTGCGGCAGCCGAGGATGCATCCTCCACTTACACATGCATGATCTACTAGGCACTGAGAATGCGCAATGCATGACACCATACATTTGTTGTTAATACATTTCTCTCCATCTGAACAATCAGCGACTGAACGACATACAGCTAAAATAGCCAAAATTCTCTGTTTCATAATTTGAACATTTTCAATATATAGTGAAATATTTGTAATGTTACCATAATTATTAATTGTTTAACTATTGAATCAGATTTACCTCTGCATTGTCCATCAATACAGTAGCTGTCTTCGCATTGGGCGTCAACTGTGCAGTAATTAGTACCCCGCACGCAGCCGTGTTCTGGACCCCTCGAGGATGGCACGAACCTGTGAATACACTTGCAGCTCGGCTGACCGTTTACGATCTCGCAGAATGCGTTAGGACCGCACGCATTCTCGCACGGATTAATGCAACGATGCTCATGACAGACGGAATGCACTGGACAATCCTTGGGACCAGAGCAGTGTCCTTCCGGCTGGCAACCGTTCACGTAAGGATCGCCGACATGATTCGGTGGGCATTGACACACCGGGTTGTTCGTTGGACCAGCGACACACAACGCAGTTGGATGGCAAGAGTCCGGATGACATGCCTCCACGGCGACGCATTCGACGTCGGGTACTGGGTTCGGGCGAAGCCCAGGCGGACATTGGCAGATTGCTTTATGATCTTCCGCTATGCAGACCGCGTTTACACCGCACGCATTCTCGTCACAGGCGTCGTAACAAGTGTGCGTAAGTCGGTTGCAGAGTTGCGCCGGTGGACAGTCGATGTTATAGACGCAGGGCACCGCGCGACACCCAGATGTTGAGTCATTCGGATCGCCGGCATACTGTCCAGGCGGACATTCGCAGTTCGCCACGTGATTATTGACGATACAAAGCGCATTGGGACCGCAAGTGATAAAGTCGCAGACCAGTTGACAAGCGAGCGGACCGTCTGGAGTGCTACGACATGTCTGATCCTCCGCGCACTCGCTATCCGTAGAACAACGGTTTTCGCGCGGACTATGACATCCCCGACGATCATTCGGATTGCCGATGTAGTCCGGTAGACAGTCGCAACGGCCATGATGATTCTCCGTCACGCAGCGAGAATTCGCGGTACAAGTGAAACCGTCGCAAAGTGACACACACTTTAATACGCCAAGCGCGTCCGGTCTACAGCCCTCGCTTGAGTGGCAGTCATCATCGGTTATACAATCGGGTACCGACGGCTTCTCGCAGGACGACTGCACCGGATTCCACTCATAGCCGTCCTGACACTTGCAAGTGGCGTGACCAGGTACGACCAAATCGGGTTCGCATTTTTGATAGGCGCCGCATACCACTTTATTGCAAGGATTTACACAGTCGCGCACGCCGCCATCCAGAGTAATGCAGAAGGAACCTGCCGGACAATCCGAGTCATGTGCACATCCGGGTATCACGGACTTGGACGGTTGGCAACCCTCGATTAAATTGCTCGGATTACCCTGGTAACCATCGATACACAAACAAGAGGACACATGATTCTGCGTGATACATAATGCGTTTGGTCCGCATTGCAACTTGCTGCATGCATCCACGCACTTGCGGACGCCTTTGCCGACCTGGAAACAGATCTCCTGCGGCTCGCATTCAAGGTCGTTCAAGCAATGACCGTGCAAGTGGCAACCTTTGTGCAAATCATTAGGATTGCCACTATAACCAGGCGGACATACGCACACTCCATTCTGGCAAACGGATCTGGGACCGCATTTTATGTCGCTGCACTGATTTATGCACTTATGATTGACACAGATGTAATCGAAGGGGCACGGTACAGTATTGCTGCAAACACAAGTAGAAGGATCAGCGCATGGTCCCACCTGTACTTGCTGACATCCAACGAACGGATTGCCGAAAAAGCCATCCTTGCAGCGACAGTCATAACTTCCAAGGGTATTGATGCACACCGCATTACTTCCGCATGCATTTCCGTTGCATTCATTAATATCTAATAAAAAAAACACAAATATACATTCACATATATAGGTTTTTATATTTATCACTATTTACACTTGATATCGTAAAAAATGATGTCATATAAAAAATTAATTATATTTTTTTAAATATTCCATTACATTAATTCTACATTTTGGTTATAAAAGAATTGCAAAAGAGTCAGCTGAAATTAATAAAAACTAACCAAAACATTGAATGTATGGATTGCCGGCGAAACCAGATGGGCAAAGACACTCGACAGCGTTAGGACCCGCGTTACAATGAGCATCTTTTCCGCACACCGCAGTAGAACAATCGGACTTTTCTTGAACACCACAGCCGTGATAAGGATTCCCACTGGTACCCGGATTGCAGACACACTTTGATTCCTGAAGACCGTATTCGCAATGTGCATTTTTCCCGCAGAATGGATCGCAGTGTGGTGGTTGAACGGCTACGGAAAAAAAATTAAATTTTTCAACCAAGATAATTTATATGATTAAATATTAGTTTTCCTTATACGCAGAGGAACATTCGCAGAATAAAATAAATATCTTTATCCTTTCACATAATATAGATGCATTACGTTTGTAATACTTACGTGGCATACAAAGCAGATCGGGATTGCCGACAAAATAGGGATTGCATACGCATTTATTCGTTAAAGGATCGCACATGGCTCCGATACCGCAAATCACCCCTTCGCAGCGCCGTTTGCAACGTCCACTGATGCATACGCTCGGCTCAGCGCACGGGATTTCAGGAGAGCAAACATCCGGAACGCACTGTCCTCCAGGGAAAGGATTGCCCATGAAACCTTCGATACACTTACACGTTGGTCCGTCGTAACTAACGATACATTGAGCCCCAGTGCCGCAAACAAAACCGTCGCATTCTAAAATCAAAAAACAAAGCGTTATTTCATCTAAAATCATAGTAAAGATTTAGACGATAAATTGATAACTTACTGACTGAAAGTATTATATAAAAACTATAAAGCTATGCTTGTATTATAAATAATTATCAAATTTTTTTCTTTTTAAATTTAGATAAATCATTTATTCTATAACACCTATAATACACATCATGTAAGAATTTTTTTTAATTTTTTCAATATATAAATATATGAAAAATAATAATTTTAATATGTAAAACTATCCAAATTTATAATAAAAAATTTATAAAATTCGCACTTACGTGAAACACATTCGTTATTTTTGCCTTCCGTGAACCCGATTACGCATCTGCACCATGCTGCGTGTTTATCCGGCTCGCAATATGCGTTAGGACCACAAGGTACGTTATCGCAGGGATTGACGCAATTTCCTTGGACGCATGACAAATAGTTCTCGCAATCGTCATTTGACGAACACTCGCTTTTGCCGGTCGGAGCTCCAGTACAACCAGCACCGTAAGGATCGCCAATCATACCTTTAGGACATTCGCACGTGTGATCCCCTTTCGTGTTGAAGCAATATGCACCGTGTCCACAAGGATTGTTCGCGCATTCGTTTACATCAATACATCCGTGCTGCGGATCACCTTCGAAACCAGCCTCGCACATGCATCGCGGTGGATCGCTCGGTGTACATTTTGCGTTAATACCACACGGGAAACGATCGCAAGGATCTGCAATAATAGAATTCAATAATAATTAGGCGTAGAAGACATTACGATTATCATGAAAATTTATATTACGCCTGAATTGTTCTAATAATGTGAAATTCGTAGTCTTACTTTTGCAAAGATTTCCATCTAAGGGATCTGTGTAGAACGGCGGTGGGCACACACATTCCCCAGGCTGCACGCATTTCTCATTAGCCTTGCATTCGTGGTCGTTGGTACATCTCTTCTGTGCCGGAGAACAAAGTCCATTGTATGGATCGCCACCGTATCCGTGCGGACATACGCATTGATGAGAACCTGGTAGGTTGATACACTCGGCACCGTAGCCACAGACTTGGTGACCCACGATGCATTCATTTATATCTATATATAAAATAATAAAATAATAAATTTTTCAGACGATCATATCAAATACAATTATATTTGCTTCAAATTGCTGTCAGTTAAATTTACAACAAAAATAAAATTTCTTTTAAACTGTAATCACTTTGTCATACCTTCACAGGAGCCATCGGACTTAGTCGTGTATCCCTTAGGACAGGCGCAATAACTGACACCACCGGCAATTGTTATACACTCAGCACCACTTGGACACTTTTCGCCCTTCGAACATCCGGCAAGCATGCATTTACCATTGACAATCTTGTACGGAGGTTGACATTGACATTCGATGCTGTTGCATTCTGTAATTTTTATAATAAAAATTTTTAACAATACTGACGCACATTTTAATAGATAATAATACAATTATTAAAATATCAAGGCTAAATCAAGAGTCCTACCTTCGCAAAGCGAGAAGGGATTTCCATTAAACCCAGGTGGACATTGGCACTCGTAACTGCCAGGGAGATTTTTACAAATTGCGTTGACACCACAAGCAGGCTTCTCTCTGAGCTCCATACATTCGTTGATGTCTCTGCATTTACCGGTCTCGTGATCGCGCGTGTAACCACGTTGGCAGATGCACACACTGCTACCTACGAATTCATCCTTGATGCACTGTTCTCCAGCGGGGCAGGGCGCACTGGGACCACACACGTGAGGTGTTCTAGATTCTTGGCAACCGCCGCTGTAAGGATCACCCGTCATGCCGCTTGGACACTGACACGAGAAGGAACCGGGCTCATTGTTACAGATTGCGCCCGGAGGACACGGATTTATCGCGCACTCATTGATGTCTCGACAACCATCCTTTATTCCGGGTTTTCCTGTGTACCCGTTGCTGCAGAGACATGTCGCCACATCGTTCATGAGCATACAATGCGCATTGGGTCCACAAGATAAATCTTCACATGGATCTGATTAGATAGACAAGAGATTATGAACTGACATTTTATTCACGAAGATAAACCTCCAACATTTGATATAAAGATAATTTCATTTAACTTTTAAATAATATATATCATATTACATACGTCTGCAATCATTCCCGACGTTGGGCTCAGGACACAAGCATCTTTTTTGTGGGTCACAAATAGCGTTTCCTGGGCAATCATCGTCAATTTCACATCTCACTATGCCAACGCATTTAATGTAAGGATCAGGATCTGGTATGGTTTCTTCCGGACACGTGCAAGAGTAAGAACCTTCAATATTGGTGCACATTGCTCCATGACCGCAAACGTTAGATTTGGTACATTCGTCGATATCTATGTATTTATTTAAAAAATATATAAACACAAAACTAACAAAATAGTTAAATTAATAATTCTTATAAATAAATAAATATATATATATATATTCATATGCATGGCAAATATAAAGATAATAAATATTTGCAAAATTACTATAGATAATCATTAATTAATAATTTATCTCGCTCAAGTTTTACCTATACATTGCTTGAAGGCATTTCCTGAGTATCCGAGTTTACATTGACAACTAAAACCACCTGGTGTATTCGTACAAATGGCATTTCTGCCGCATCTTCCAGAAGGTCCATTTATCGCATCACATTCGTTTATGTCTAATTGTAAGTAAAGAAAATAAAACAGCGTTAAAAAATTTACTGTCATAAATGATACCTATCCACGTTGAATAATAATTACAAAATATTTCGATTTATTTAAGAAATATCTGTTTGCTTACCGACACAACCAGCCGCTATGTCATTTGGATTGAAGGTCCAACCATCTTCACATATGCAATAAGCTTCGTGACCGTCGGCCTTGCAGAAGGCATGTTCACCACAAGTTACCTCATCGCATGGTGCTGTAAAATAATAAAAATTATGACAAACTGTAGCTTTTTAATAGCATAATAATTACTCTTCTCTTTTTACGGTTTTTCTACTAATTATTCTTACATAATATTTCTCTTTCAAAGATGTAACATGTATGTATACGATAGCATTGAAAATGTATAATTACGATTACCTTTACACGGAATATGGGGCGGTGTGCCAACAAATCCAGACTCGCACTCACAATGATAGCTTCCTCTAGTGTTCGTGCAAATCGACGCAGGTCCACAGGGATTAGTAAGGCATTCGTTTAGATCCACGCATTCAGCACCGATGGCTTTGAAGCCATCTTTGCAGAAACATTGTCCCTCGATGCACTCAGCATTGTTGACGCAATCGAAATTCGATTTGCAAAGAGTCGTCACGTCGGTCTAAAAACGTTGCGATGAGACACTTTATTACTCCGCACTCATAATTCTTGTCACGTTCGGAAGCATTGTACTTGGAAACGAGAACCGGTTCACCGTATATACGGTTATCTTTTAGACGCGCGAATAAAAAACGTGCATTCATAATAAATGGAACTGTGAGTCAGTTTTGTGGCGTTACAAACGACGAAAATAGATTTGGAAAAGAGGTAAACTGATGTAAAACCGGTTCGCGTTTATCTTGTTTTGTGTGCACGACGCCACCTCCATTTCATTTGCTTTCTTTTATCCGTCGTCTTCGTAGAAAGAAACCACGGACCGGTCAAAGGAGCAGACCACCTTTTGAAATATTTGTCCTGGGACATCTCTTGCGTGGAAGATCTTGTCCACATACATATGTATGTATGAGATGACTCGAGACGAAACGCAACGGGTTATTGAATTATTATACCTGATCGCATGCGACTGCTGGGCTGGACCTAGCACTGTATCCTGGTGGACAAAGGCAGTTGTAACCAGGCTCCTCGTTTTTGCAAATCGCATTTTTCCCACAAGGATTTTCCAAAGCTGTGCATTCGTTGATGTCTAGGAAAGAAAAAACAGAATGCCAAGATAACAGAAAAATTCCACAAAGTCAAAAATTCAAAGGAATAAATCTGCATTTTGAGTATCACAAAAAATAAAGATATTGTATTAAGAAAATATAAAATAAATATTAAGAAAATATAGAATAAATTTTTGTACGAAAAATAGCCAATTTTTAATTTACTTAAATAAGCGTTTAAAAAAAAAATTATTGAAAATATTAATATTAAAGTCGTAGTGGGAGCAGTGCATTCTAATTATCCTGACAACACTCTTAAAACCACGAGACTCGTGATTAAGGGATTCATCAAAGGAAACATATAGCAAGAGAAAATTATTGATAAGCTAACCACTGCACTCCTTAAAAGGATCGCCGGTGTAATCCGTCTTGCAGCTGCAAGCAAAGCTACCGACCGTGTCGATGCACTCAGCGTTTTCGCCACAGGGGTTGCGCTCGCATTCGTTCACGTCTGTTAATCAATATTATTAATCACAGGATGATTATTATAGCATGCAGTATGACAAAGAATGTTACATGAAAGCTTAGCTATGACTGACTTTCGCAGCGGGTTAGTCCCTGACCGATGAAACCCGGGGGACAAATGCATTTGTATGAGCCCGGGACATTAATACACCTCGCATTGGCCGCACAAGCGTCTCCGCCGATGCACTCGTTCACGTCGACGCAACCGTGCGCGGGATCCATCCGGTAGCCGATATGACATCTACATTCGTAGCTACCCTCGGTGTTTACACATTCCGACTCCGCACCACAGGGCGAATTTTCCTCGCACTCGTTCACATCTGCCGGTGATGGTCAGTTAGTAGTCATCGTTAGACGTGCGATCGTGGATATTTGTGAGTTTAACCGGATTATTAGTTGTCATGTGTCACACATAGATCAATAATGCTATCAATATTGGGATCTGGTTTTCACTAATAAATTTCTTAATCGAAATAAACTTTTTGTCAACATTTTGTTAAGATTGTTATATCAATGATTATGAACAATGTTATGTTACTAAAGCATGATAATTAATTACACACATATACATATAACATTTAACATATTTTAATTTTTTCACGCTATAAGGCATTCTATGTTTTACTTACCACTCGTAATAAGTAATTGTAAATATATTTTTAAGTCTTACCGTGGCAGCCTGTCATCGGATCACCATCCATTCCATCGGGACAAGAACATCGGAAGCTACCATGTACGTTCGTACAGAGAGCGGAACGTCCGCAAGGACTCCTCAAGCATTCATCGATATCCCTGCACTCCTCCTCAGGACTTCCGTCGTATCCGTCGGGACATTCGCACTTATGCGCGCCTGGTACATTCACGCACAGCGCACCTCTTCCGCAGGCACCCTCGTATTTGCATTCGTCAATATCGATACACTAGATCAATTTAAATTTCATAAATTTAATAAATAAATTCATGGTTACGCACACATATTCCTAATTGCGCGTTGTTTGAAATTTATTAACATTTTCTAATATGTTATACATGTATAAATTTATATTTTATATTATATTTATAAAACATTTACATTTTATTCAGTAAATTCGTATTTTTTAAACATAAAATTTATAAAAATTTAAACTGAGATATACACATGCTCTTGCTTTAAAGTAAATTATAGACAGAATAAATATCTAAATTTTAAAATTGTCCTTTATCGTACTTCACTATCGAAATTATTTATAATATAAATATTTCAAATCGGAATTTGTCAGTATACTTATACATATACATCATGATTAGCCCGCATCCTCCAGAAGCCTATCATTTTAAATGAACGATAATTATTAAGATTAATATCCTCATCGTCATATAAATATCCGAAAAAAAATTGCCACGATAAGGCAATTGACTCGCAGGCATGTTATTATCCACTTTAATCTCCAACTTATCGTTTTCTTGACTACGCATCCCTGATCTCGCCAATGTACTCACACTGTTGAACGGGTCTCCCGTAAATCCGTCTTGACACGTGCAGGTGTAATTACCAGGTATGTTGTGGCACACAGTATTGTCGCCACATGCACCTGGTATCGTACATTCGTTCACATCCTCGCAATGCACCTCACCATTGCCGATATAGCCAGATTTGCATTGACACAAGAAGTTCGAGGGTAGATTACAACACTCGGCATTCTCGACGCAACGCCTAGCAATCGCTGGATCGTCACATTCGTTGATATCTAAAGATATAATATCGTTAATAATGAAACGGATGCACAGCCGCGGGCGTTCAAAGCACAGGATAATTACCCTCGCAATGAAAGCCATCGCCTCGGTATCCGGGAAAGCAGGAACATTGAAAACTGCCAAGAGTATTTGTACAGTGGGCAAATATATCACAGGGTCGATATTTACACTCGTTCTCATCTGTAATTTTTTATTTTAATTCAGTTTTATTATAAATTATTGTAAATTATTCCTTACGTATATTGTAAATTTAAAAGAGTAGGAAAATATATGCCAGGTAATATACTTGCATCGAATTAATCCAAACGATTTGCATGTAGTAGAAAATACATGTGCATATTAAATGAATATTTGATATGAAGAAAATTTCATACTAAATAATAATATAATAAATAGTTGCACGAACCTGGAACTTGACAGTTACATCCTCCGAATCCATCGTTACAGTGACAGACCGAATCCAGACAGACACCATTTTGACATTTAGTGCCGTCTTCTTTTGTACAATCGTCTGTAAGATTTTTAGCAAAAAAATTTGAATAAATTAATTATATTATATTTCACTAAAAAAATATATGCATAACTCTCGATTCTTAATGAACATTTAATGTTATGATATAAGTTTATGAATAATCTACATATATCTTTTTCAAATTAAAATATCAATCATATTAAAATATTAATAAATACACAAAAGTATTTTTATCTTTCTTAATGTGTAAATAAAAAATTATTTACGTAGATATAAATAATTAATGATTTCATCCGTTAGAAACAGCGTTAAAGGATATACTGATTTAGAAATATCCTGTACGAGAGGCACGAGCCATTTTTGTTGGCTATTAAGTAAGATTGTCCGAGAAAAAGGGGCGGATAAATTGCGACTATACTATATAGCCATCGGCTAATCGCGCAATTTTCTCTCGCCCTGATCGTCGGTCGAACATCGAAGTTTTTCTCACAAGCCGTGAAGCTGCGGTATACGTTTGGTAGATTCGAGTAACGTGATCCACTGGCTCATCGGCACCTCGGCAACGTCAATTATGGTTCCACCGGGAAGATAACGTCCATGGAAAATGAGAATAAAATTCCGCGGCTAATTACAACTCGAAGGCGTGACTCGGTACAATATGAAATAATGACGCGAGAAGAGATTCCCCTTAATTGACCTGACGAGACGTGATGCTTAACACGTTATTGCGGTTTGTATATACGATGCGAGAAGGAAAATTACTTAGAGACTGTAATGACATCGAGAATGATGGCATGACGTGAAGAAACAACGGAAACGTTAACGACAGTGTATCGTGAATGTCGTGCGACATCACCCTTTCCTGTCGCCGTGAGATACACAATCGCTTCACCGCAGGGTGATACCCTGGTAATCTCCGGACGAGTTATTTCGAGAGAATACGTCTTCTTTTGTCAGGTAGCTCACCTGTGCACTTTAACTTGTTGCGCTGCTCGTCCACGCCTTGGTAGCAGTCGACGCGATGGTCACAGAGCTTTGAAAGCTCGAGCAACTGAAGGACGTCAGTCGACTCGTTCACTTGACAGCCAAAGTAGCCGTCCTCGAGGTTCAGGAAGAATACTTCTCGCTTCGATCCATGGCCGAGTCCTTTACGAGATTCGGCCTGAAAAATCACGAGATAGATTTTATTAGTTGAATATTATCAATATATTTCAATTATCTCTATCAATTACATTTTTGTGCTCTCGGACATATTCTAATTTAAGTTTAAATTAAGTTTAATTTTTTTTTTTTTATAAAAGGCGCGTATCGTTGAATTTAATTAACGGTCTTCCAATTGTAAGTCGAGAATAGGAGAGAGAAAAACAAGAATTAATTACTTTCTTTACCCACGAAAGAATTGAAATGTTTTAAGAAATGCCTTCTTACCGGATACGAAGATAGAAGTATCCACGTCAGCAACGGCCAAAGATGTTTCATCTTTGCTGTAAAAAGATTAAATCATACCAAAATTAGTCATATTCTATAGATATTGCCCATGCAATATAGAGTTAAACGCGTGGTTTTGGTTTATTATTAATGCATGATTTTTAGTGGTGACTGGACGCGCATAACAATGTTTATCATTCTTCCGCGGAGAACGTGTTGCGGAAGAGATTTAAATATAGATTCCTAAACATGCGCGTAACACAACGACGACGATGACTTCATACGGGAATCACCAGTGGTAATTGCATCATCGCGAATTCACAAGTGGTTTCGCAAAAACGGCACCACTTTGCAGCACCCTGGGAACGATTTTTCATGATCGCGCCACAACCGGAGACGAGAGAAGAAGAGAGCGGTAAAGAGAGAGGGAGAGAGGCACTCGAACGTTCCCCACGATGTTCACGGCGTATAAATCACATGGAAAGCACCATAGTTGCAGGAAATCGTCGGAAAATCAAGCGTGAATATAAAACCACAAGAAACCATCGACTATTTTTCAGTCACAACGGATAAACCTACACCGGTCGAACACCTGTTCGACGAACGAGCCCCCGCTCCGTCGCGCCAGCCGCTCCAATGTGTGGCTAATTCGCGAATGTGCGACCAGGAAAGTCGGTTGATGTATCAACCCCAACTTGTAGACCACGTAATGCATAGAAGCATTGACTTTGTCCTTCAACGTACTATCTTAAGTAGGAGATGGTTCAACATGACGGACATAAGTAAAACATATGCAAATCACTGCAGAATAACTGTAATGACATGGCATCAATAAAATTATCGATGACAAATGTAAAATAAATTTCTTCATTAATGATAAGCTATTAGCGTTTTACAAGTCGTTATACAAGTCATTATTTATGATTATTTTTTCAATATTACATATCGTTGAGCCTGAGATGAGATCTCTGTTATAGCGAAGCTTACATCGACACCAAGCCTCAAGTGCGTTTCGTCGATCCACAGAATTCGTGACGCGTTCGACTCGACATGGTGAGAAAATACGTGCTTGATAGCGACCGGATTTTTCCAACGGAATTCGTTTGAAAGACGCGGAAATCTAAATCGTTGAGTGCTCGCGATGAAGCCGCGGTAACAATTTCCTGTTTATCGCCCTTCTCCTTCGCAATATTCCGCCGGCAGACGTCCAACTGTAAACGCAATTTTCGCGAGATAGCATCCCCGTATACGCAAAAGCGTTCTAGCTGGGCCCGCAGGCTTCTTTCTCGTTCTTTCTCGTCGAGAGTCGAGACTCGAGACTCGAGACGCACTAGGTGCGCGCGTGTGCAGCGAATCGCACAATAAGTTAGAGCCGCGGCGGCGATCAACCTGGCGCGGTGAAATGTTAACGACTGCACACGCGGCCAAGCTCACAAGGAGGACCGGGGGGCGAAAGGGAGAAGGGAAGGAAGGACGTGCGTTCGCCAAGTCGGATGAAGAGGAAGAAGAGAAGCGGAAAGTGCGAAGGGGAACGACTAGGGAGGAGATGGGAGAGGAGAGAAGAAGCGAAGGAACGCGTAATAAAGGAGGGCGTGCGAGTGCGATGCACCTGTAGCCCTCCTTTCCTCCCAACCATCTCGCATCGCATCGTCTCCGCCGCCGCCACCGCCACCGCCACCATACCCCGAACTCGTCGAGATATATGTATATAAACTCGCAGCTGCGCGCGGGTTCCCTTATTTTCATTTTGTCACGGAACCCGGCCACCCCATCGCGCAGGCATATTTTTAGATCCGGTTTTACTTCCGCGGTACCATGCTCAAGGTCTTACAAATCTAGGACTTAGATATACAGTGAATGCAAAAAGTATTCGTACAGGGAAAAGATTTTTTTTTAAACTTTATTTTTAAAAAGTAAATATTATCCAGCGAGAAATGAGTTATCGAATTGATGTCGAATCGATATAAATACGATTATTTCAACATCAATTTGACGTCGATTCAATGTTTAATCGATGATCATTTTTTGTTGGATAATTAACCATATGTTCATAAAGAATAAAATAGACTGTACGTTTCTTAAAATTATATATACCAAAAAGATGTGTATCAATTATACAAAATATATCATCTGAAAAATAAGTAAAAATTAAAAATTGTATTGTTGAATGCTCAAAAAATATTCGTACAGACGAGAAATTTAGCTTCTAAAATACATGCGAAGCTTGTTTGTTTACGTTAAAACAAAATGTATTCATTATATAAAATTGCTAATTAATGTTTATTTTCTACAAATAAGACATTTTTTAAAACAAATTTCCTTGTATAAATACTTTTTGCTCTCATTGTATATGTTAACGAAAAAAAAAATTCGCAGAAACTTAAAAGAAATTGATATACTAATTAGACGCTGATATACTAATCAGCTCATTAAAATGTAATAATCATTTATACGTAAAACAAATCATGTTTATCCTTTTTTTTTAATTTTATAAAAAATTTCTATAATAAACAATGTATAATTTAATGTAATGTAGTGTTTGAATGTGTTTCAATTTTTACATGGATTTTGTAACTTCAATAGTATTCCGAGAATGTTATGAAAGTAAGGTGATTATATAACGGTTCTCAGACATACGAGCATAAAAAACGTGTTTATTTGTGGTCAATCTCTAACAAGTTAATTAATTACGATGATTAACATTTATTTATTTTACAAAATCAATTGATAATTTAATTAGTTAATACGCCCTTGTGTAATAACCAAAACAAAGAAGCGTAATAACATTTAAAAATATTTTCGTGCATAATGACTCAATAATGAAATTGCTTCTTCATCAGAAGGTAGTTTAGACTATTGCAGGTAAAAATAAACGTCTCGTACAAATTTATTTTGTTTGTAATTTAAAGTGTAGACAAAGTCTGATAGAAATGCTAAGCTGCATCGCGATCGTTCTTGGGCTCTGACATCGATTTTTCAGCCGCAAGCGATTGACATAGTTACATCAGTTTTTGTCGGTGCCTCTTTAGCATATCTGCGTGTTGCAATCTTGCAGACTAGCTCTCGGTAGCTCTCGGTCATAATTCAGCCACGCGATTGTATACTTCAATTTTGCATCGCTGTATATCTACATGAGTAATATAAATTACAATGTGTGTTTATGTGAAACACCTACGCGCGATATTATGATACAAATGTTGACAGTAGCGACTGTGTCATCGGTTAAAACAAGACAAATTAACACGCACAACTTCTAGTTTAAGAAGCTATTTTCTGATGTCAAAATACATTAATTTTTCAAATGTAATCGATATTATTTTCCCATAGCAATTTTATTCCATTTGTATTTGTATTTTTAATTAATAGTATATCTTTGTTAGTTAAATAATATATTTAAATATCAAACAGCAACGGGCTTCTAAACACAGGCAAACTACAATTACATATGTATATCCTACATGAAAGTTTTATTTCGATGACATCACTCGCTGCATTAAATAATCACGAATCGACTTAATTATCAGCTCCACCCAAATAGATATTCCAGGTCAATAACGACTCCGGTTCGCGAGTCATCGGCTTCATGGATTTCTTCTTTATTATACTACCTCGCCCACGAGACTCTCGGTTTATGGAAGCTTGCAGGTCAGGTACAGCATGTTTGTCGGCGCCGTGAAAGTGTCTATATGTGACTAGAGAACATCTTGGGTCTGTAGAGATTATTCTTTTGCGTGTGCTCGGGACCAGGGGTACATCCCACGTACGCGAAAAAGAAAGAGACTTCAAAGTTATAGCTAACGCATTTAAAATATCCCAATGCGTCAAACGTTCATAGAAATAGTAAAATTATTCGTTAACAGCTGTTTAGCACATGCTGGTAATATCGTTTAAAAATTACTCGGCGTTATTCGCTGCTCACAAAAATTATTAACTCAATATATACAGACGGCATCAAAATTCACGCACTTTCTCTTGACTGTGGTCCCCAAACAACAAAACCAAATTAAGAGGTCGAGAGAGTGTCTCTTATTTGCATGCCAAAGTATTCATAGCTTTTATATCATAAACGGCGAACACACACATTATAGAGATTGAGAAATATTGCTCAATATAAGAGAAATAAGTATACAATATATCTTATTATATAGATATATTGCCTATTTTAAGCATAAAACCATTAAAAAAATCATATTTTATAGAAATTGGTCTTTTCACATCATAGTAACAAGTTGCACAGATAACGTTTCATTTTTATTTCCTAGATTATAGACCAGTTTGCATGATGCCTCGAACTAATCGCGATGCCAATCCTTTAACGACATACATTTACAGCTTCGTAATGTCACCAGCAAACGAATTTGCATGTTTAGCACCCACTGTCGACAATTTAATTGCATCACCGTCGTGCTAAGTCTTCCTACGTGCAGTGCTGATTTCACGCACGAGTCTCTTTACACGCTTGCGTAATTCCTCAGTAAAGTAATGCAAACTAAGTTCCTTTTGTTCGAATGCGTTCTCTTTATTACGCGCCGATACATGAAGTTAATCCTTATTTCTGAAAACATCAAAGCTGAATTTACACACCTTAAAAAAATAACGGAAATATGCTATTAAGTTCTGATACTTATCGCGCAACAGAGTAATTGATTTAATGAATACGAATGATTTAATTACAAGGAAACTGACAATGGAAGGTAACGAAATAAAGGAACAGCAGCCCCGCAGCGTTCTAATTATCTAGCATCTTCCTTTCGTTTCGCAAATCCATATGTGTGTCAAGATGCATCACGTGCACGCATATATGAATATTTATATATATATATATATACGTATGTAATCATATAAAGACACAATTAAAAATATGCAAAGATGCTTTCTCCTCGTCATATTTGCCGAAATCTATTTGTGTTCGTACGCAATACAAAAGTGTATAATTTATATGTATACTTATCGTGAGAGTACATACCTATAATCGAGTTTGTCTAGAAAATTGACATATAAAGCTTTAGCAGATTTATAATTTCAGGTAATGATTTCCATAGAAGATAGGG